GTAATGTTTTTAAATCACTTAATCAAAATATCAAACACATTTATAAAGCTTTGAGGTTATTCGTAATAAATTTTACTGATGCTGTGCACCATTTAGCCGTTGTGAAACCATTAAGAAATATATTTTTAAGGAACTAATGTCAAGTTGGCAACCATGTATTCACTTATTATGTATGTTTTTAAAAACCCAGGACTTGATTTAAGAAATCCATTCTTCCGGAACATAAAAATTACATACCTATGTAAATTCCCCATCTCCAATGCCGTACAAAAGCTGCTCTTTAAAGTGGTGTCTTGAGCACTGTGGTAATTACATGCGCAAGATGAACCCTAAATTTGGGCTTTTCAAAGACAGAAGAAGAAAGAAAGCTGAAATTTTTTTTACTATTTTACAAAATTTGAAAAATTATGACAATATAATGAAATAGATATAGATATTTAAATGTACGTTTTATTGTCAAGTTTTTTACTGATAGGACAAAAAATCGCTGGTTGTAGACTGCCTTTTTAGTCTTGCGCTTAGGCAACTTTAAGTATTGCCAAATGAGTTTTGACATTTCTATTCAAGATTTGACATTTTTAGGCATAAATGTTATTACAACGGTTTAGTCTTCTAAATTTCATCGAAAAATGGAATTAAATAATAAATATTTTCGTACGATGATTTTTGACGATTTTCGACTCAGATTACCTAGAAAAGAAAGCATCGATCATCTTAGTTCTATTTTTTGGTTATAAAACATCACATCCAGCGACGACAAAACGCTGGTTCAATGAGTTCGAGCCTGGTTTTCTCCGCAACGAATTTCGTGAAGGTCGGCTGATACACCAGAAAACATCGATGCAGTGTGAGAAATTATTGAGATAGATCGTCATGTTGCATACCAAGAGATAGAGGCGTCCTTGGCTTAATGGCCAGTATACATATATGTGTAAACTATGGAACCAGTATACATTCAATTGTTCATATACATACAAATCTAACAGATTTGTTTGTTGTTCTGTTAGATTCTCCATAACTTGACATTCGCTAAAAAAAGGGACATGTTGATTAGTGCAATTAAATGCTGAAAAACTATGACCGAGGTAGCTCAGATCCTGTCCGCGACATCATGATAGGTACGAATAATGGATGTACTTATATGAACGTCCATTGTTTGGGTCATCCAAAGCGAGCAGAACTCGACAAAAGTTGTCCGAGGATGGAGCAAATCCAAGCAAATGGTCACATGTTTTTTCAGAAAAAGCACTCATCTCGTAACTGCACCACTTGAACAACGTAGATCAGGCAATTATGTGTAGTACAAAACTATTTGTTTCTCGATAGTTTCGTAGAACTGAGAAAAATCTACCTTTGAAGGGAAATCATCCTCCGCCATGACAGTATGAGCACCACGACACATCAGATCAAACAAAAAAGTCGAATTGATGGGTCATCCACCTTACAGCACAGACTTGTTGTGTATCTAGTTTTGACTAGTTACCCTAAAATTTTATTAACAATTGGTTACGAACCCAGTTTATTTTAAAATAATTTTCTGAATACAATGCATTAAGCACATGATCACAGTTTTCTAGAGGTGAAAACATGGGTGGAAATTTTGTCAGAAGCCAGTTCATGATGGGAGTGCGATTCGATTGTTAAAACCATGCGGTATTAACTCTTAAAAAGTTCGAGTTGTTCGGGTAGTTTAAAGATTAAAAAATAATAAGTGCTGAGTTTAACAATTTGGTTTCACGTAAGTGATTTTTTGGGTGGTTAACTTTAATAAAATAAAACAAAAGAAAAAATGTGAAACAAACAATATAAGATAAAACACTTTTAAAATATTTGTGAACTATTGTAATGAACCAATATATATATTGTGTATAAATTGAAAAATAAAATAATTATAAATTAAAAAATTGAATAAACCAGTTACTGCATTTTTTTTATAATCTTTTGTGACACCAAAGTGTGGGATAAGAACTTTCATCCAAAACTGATTTTCAAATAAATAAATTTTGAATAAAAATATTGGCTTACAAAACAACTAACTTGTGTACTTTCCTTGGACAGGACGAGGAGACGTGATACAAATTGGGAGATATAACAGACTTGGCACCCGATAACGCCCTTTGGTTTTTAAACATTAAAGAAAAAATGCATGACAAACATTTTCCTACGCCGGAACAGGCCACTAAGATATTTAAACCCCTACTTTTGTAGATACCAACTTCAGAGTTGCAAAACTGTTTCGAAAATTGGTTCAACGAGAATACTTCGAAAAACAATAAAATCATTGCTAGACATAAGACTTAAAAGGCAATCCTCATATAACATATAACAAATGAGTGTGTGGTACCCGGATTTTGTAAATAAAACACACAAATTTAAATTTTATTCCAAATTTATTTTATCTTCTTCAAAATATGTTCCTTCTGAAACGATACACATATGCCAACGCTTAGCCCAATCTTCCTTACTCTTTTCGTAGGCCTGTGCAGGTATGGCTTTTAGTCCCTTCGCTGATTTAATGGACTCAAAACGCTTACCTCGAAGGGGCAATTTGAGTTTTGAGAAAAAAGTTGCACGGCGTCAGATATGGCGAATATAGTGCCTGAGCGATGACAGTGGTGCCGTGTTTGGTCAAAAAATCGCGTACTACAAGGGCCGTGTGCGATGGAGCATTGCCGTGATGAAGCCAATTTTTGGCTTTCCACAAATCTGGTCTTTTTTTACGGATGGACTCACGCAAATGCCGCATAACGCCGAGGTAATATTCTTTATTGATGGTATGATCCTCTACCAAAAATTCGTAATGAATAACACGGCGGTAGTCGAAAAAAACTTTAATTTTCGAGCGACTTTTGAGTATTGTTTTTATAGAAAACAGTTGCGAATAAAAAAATTTTTTTTTTGTTTTTCGTTAGATATAGTTTCACATGAGTTGCTATCTCCAATAGATACGGTATTATCGTTTTCTTTTCGAATATGTACTCTACTTTTCAGGGATTAATTTAAAGAAAAAATATATTTATGCCACTTTTCAGTTGGTGATATAAAATTGTAACAATTCTTTTTTAATATGAAGTTTTACCTAATCTATTAAATATTTAGATATAATGAGATTTCGCGTAAAGGATAAACTTAATATGATTCCTTCCTGAGTACAAATTATGTTTGCTCGTTTTCAGTCCAAGAGAAGAAGTGAAATGTTTGTTACTAGAATATAGTTATGATTGGTGAAATTGTTCCAACCACTCACCTAATATAACTTAACTATTAAACCTTAAACTTAATATTCGAGTTCCGAATATTTGGACAAGTTCGAAATGATCGGGTTCCATAACTTACGTTCGCATATTCAAAACGCCAGTTTTCTGTAAAAACATTTCATATCCTTTAGACTAACTGAGTACGCGAATGAGAAACTCGAATGTTCGGTTAATACCGAAATAACATTTTTTTCTTCAGAATTTATATAATCTTTATACGTAAAAATTATTTTCTAACACATTTATTGTTATTCTTGAAAGTTACATTTCCAGCAATAACCTGTGGATATGGTAGATGTAGTCTTAATTTGCTTTTCTAAATAACACGTTGTTGCTTCTGATAGCATTGATTTTAAACGCATACAATTTCCAATAAGGCACCCATAACACATAAGTATTTTTAATATATATATTTAGCACTGCAGAATAAACATGTAGAGTGCAGAGAAGCAATCGACGAGCTAAATCGGTTGGCCGATATCACACTCATCTGGGTTCCTGGGCATAGGAACATCGTAGGGAATGAGAAAGCTGATAGTTTAGCCCGCTCTGGTGCCTCCCTAGACGCGTCACTGGCGGTACCAGTTTATATTACCCTGGAGGCCATCAAAAGAAGTACCTTCCTTTACTTTCTGCAACTCGCCAATAACAGATGGAAAGCACTAAGGTCATGTGGAACTTCCAGGTTAACGTGGCCCACCTATAATAAAAATAAATCCCTGGAACTGATCAAAAGAGATCGCGTAAATACTGCAAGGCTTATTGCAGTTCTTACTGGTTATTGTATAGGAACTCACGCAGAGAAACTGCGCATTCCCTATAACTCTCACTGCAGAAGTTGTAGAAACCAGCAGGAGAAAGAAACAATAATACATATTCTCTGTGAATGCCCAATTCTAGCATCCAGAAGATATAGGTTCTTAGGAAAATACTTTTGTGATAGTTTATCAGACTGCTCAATGGTGAAGATGAAAGACCTATTAAATTACCTAAATTCAGTGGGATGGATTTAGTCTCTACTCTTCTATACTAGGGTTCTTGCGAGGAATGTGGTACCAAAACGGCGAAAAATCGCTAATTGAGGTACATTTGAAGTTATCTTATGACCTGCCATTGCAACCAACCAACCAACCAGCACTCTAGAATAAACATCGCAACTTGAAAATATTTTTGTAAGGTAAAGGATATAAACCAACACCTAAAATGTGACCTTAATGCGGATTAGAAAAACTGGGTGTACTGATATATAACATCACTACTAAGTTATTCAAATGTATCAATGCAATAAAACACAATACTAAATGTTATACTTAGTTATAATTTAGTATTTAATTGTAAGCTTTTTATTATAGCAAATAAGCTTTTAGGTTAATTTAAGTAATACTCTAATTTTAAATATTAATAAAGTCAGTCATAATATGAACTCAGAACGAAGCGTGTTATTTATTTAAGCGACATAACAAATTGGCGACGAGAAAATTTTTTTTTGTGTTTAATTGTGTAATATACAATAAATAAACAAATGTAAATAAATATAAATGCAAAAATAAACGATTTAGTTTTTTCTTTGCAATTTGTAAAAGACTAAAAACAAAAAAACTGTTGAAAATAAAAAAATTTGGATTAATTGTGTAAATATACATATTATGCACATAAAAGCATTAAAAGAACATTTAGTAAAATATTTTTTTTTATTAAAAAGTAATATATAATATATATAAATTAATAATATACAGTGGAATCATGTCTACAAATGAAAATGTAACGGTGTGGCAGACAAGCAATATGCCGCTATTCTCTCCTCAAATAGAAACGTGGTCAATCTGGAAGGAGAAACTGGAAATTCACATGTGCGAAATAAATTGTGAAGACGACAATAAAAAAAAAGCTATTCTATTGAAAGCGATCGGTGCTGAGCCGTACAGCATTTTACATAGTTTGTGCAGTCCGATTTCACCAATTGAAAAAAGTTACAAAGAGCTTTGTGAAATTCTTAAGAGTCATTACACCTCACCAACTATTATATTTCAAGAACGAAAAAAGTTCCATGAAGCTTTCAAACATGAGAGAGAATCTGTATCAGAGTGGTTTGCTCGTGTAAAAAAACTTGCTTTGGATTGTAAGTTTGAAGAGCATTTAAATGCATTTATTTTGGATCGATTTGTAGTAGGCTTGCCTAAAATTCTTTTTGAAAGATTATGCGAAGAAGATGAAAAACTTTCGCTAACAGATGCGTTAAAAAAAGCTATGATTATGGAAACAAAAATTTTGAACAAGAAAAATGATATAATAGATGTGCATTTTGTTAAAAAATTAAATTCTAATAGAGGAGCCAATTATAAAAAAGTGGAAAAATCTGGAGAAAAGTGTTGTCAACATTGCGGTAGGAGGAATCATCTGTCTAACAATTGCAGATATAAGAATGCAAAATGTCACAACTGTAAAAAAGTTGGACATATTGCATCAGTATGTAAATTAAAAAAACATAGTAATGTTAATTATGTATCAAATTCTAGTATTAATTCTAATAATATGAATAAAAATTTATTAAATTTTTCTATTTATAGTATTCAAAGTGATTCTTCAAGTGGAATATTTGAGATCGTCATAAACATAAATGATACTCCTATTAAAATGATTTGTGACACAGGAGCTCCGTGCAGTTTGGTACCAGCATCACTTCTGCGAAAAATTAACAACAAAATACATTTAAACTCATGTGAGTCAAAATTTTTTAGTTACTGTGGGAAAGAAATTAAAGTGTTAGGAATTTTCAAAGCAAATGTCATGTATAAGGAAGTTATAAAAAGTATGAATATAGTAGTTACAAATTTAAATAGTGCACCATTACTTGGTAGAGACTTTCTAAAATTATTTAATTTTAAATTGGTACAATGTGATAATATTAATTACATTCAAGATTATTCTGTAATTATAGAGGAAATTAAAAATGAATTTTGTGAAATCTTTGATATGAAATTAGGTAAATACAATATAAGTAAAATATCTCTCCCTATTGCGGAAAATATCAAACCTATTTTTATAAAACCAAGACCTGTTCCTTTAGCTTGGAAGGATAAAATTGAAAGAAATTTAAAAGAACTCATTGAAAATGATGTGTTAGAACCTGTAAATAGTTCAGACTGGGGTACACCATTAGTTCCTGTTTTAAAACCAAATGGTGAACTTCGAATATGTGGAGATTATAAAGTGACGATAAATAAGCACTTATTGGATTTTAAGTATCCTTTACCACGTATTGACGAAATTTTTGCTTCTTTGCAAGGTGGTGAAATATTTACAAAATTAGATCTATCTTGTGCATATAATCAGTTAGTTTTAGATGAGAAATCTCAACATTTATGCACATGGTCAACCCATATTGGTACATTAAAAATGAAAAGGTTGCCTTTTGGAGTGAAACCAGCAGCTGCGATTTTTCAAAAAACTATTGAAAACTTGTTATGTGGTATTCCTTTTGTAGTTGTGTACCAGGATGACATAACCGTTTCTGGTAAAAGAATGTCCGAACATGTAAGAACTTTGAAATTAGTATTGAGTAAATTAAAAAATGCAGGATTAAAACTGAATTCTTCAAAGTGCGTATTTTTTCAATCAAAAATTTCATATTTAGGATTCACTATTGATAGATATGGTTTAACCAAAAATAAAGAGAGAGTTGAATCCGTATTGAATGCACCGGTTCCTAGTAATGTTAGTGAATTACAAGCATTCATTGGAATGGTTAATTATTATTCAAAATTTATAAATAAATTTGCGAATATAATGATACCGCTATATAATTTATTAAAAAAAAATGTTAAATTCACTTGGTCTGAAGATTGTCAGAAAGCTTATGACATTATTAAACAAAATATTGTGTCTGATCAAATTTTAGTGCACTTCAATCCGAGCTTGCCTATTGTATTGACAACAGATGCGTCTAACAATGCAGTAGCAGGTATTCTATCACATAGGTTTGCAAGTAGTGAACTCAAACCAATTGCTTTTATTTCGAGGGCACTAACTAAATCAGAGAGAAACTATAGTACTCTTGAAAAAGAGGCATTAGCTATAATTTTTTCAGTTAATAAATTAAAACAATATCTTCTTGGTAATCAGTTCGTAATAAGAACTGACCACAAACCGCTGTTATCAATATTCAGTGAAAACAAAGGGTTACCTTTGATGGCCGCTGCAAGAATGCAGAGATGGGCATTACTCTTATCTGGTTTCAATTACAAAATTGAATTTATTAAAGGCAGCATAAATGATGCTGATAACCTATCGCGAATTCCTCAATTGGAATATAATGACATTCATGATGAAAAAAGTTTTATCCATTTAATTTCGAAGGATAATAATTTAAATTTAGATTTCAATGATATAGCTCGTGAGACAAGGCGCGACCCAATTTTGGCTAAGATCTGTGATGTTGTTAAATTAGGAACAATTAAAGATCTTAAAGGTCACGATTTTAAACCGTATTGTATTAAGGAAAATGAATTGACTGTTGATCAGGGATGTTTGTTATGGGGATACAGAGTAGTAATACCTCATAAACTCAGAAAAATTGTTCTCCAACAACTACATGAATCACATTTTGGAGTGGTTAAAACAAAAAGTATAGCGAGATCTTATGTATGGTGGCCAAACTTGGACATAGATATTGAAAACTTAGTAAAAAATTGTATTCCATGTCAGGAACTTCTACCTAATCCACAAAAAAGTCCATTGATACCGTGGATTCCTACTGAAGCAGTATGGAGTAGAATTCACATAGATTTTGCTGGGCCTATAAAAGGTTACTTTCTGTTAGTTTGCATAGACTCTCACTCGAAATGGGTGGAAATTTTTAAAACTAAATGTATTACTTCAAACTTCGTAATATCAAAATTACGTGAAATGTTTTGTCGCTTTGGTTTGGTAAAAACTATAGTAAGTGATAACGGAAGACAATTTGTTTCTGATGAATTCAAGTATTTTCTTAAAATTAATAAAATTCAACATATATTAACAGCACCTGGTCATCCATCAACAAATGGACAAGTTGAAAACTTAGTCAAAGTGTTAAAAAAATCTTTATTTGCGAATTTAAGATATGAAAATGAAGCAGGCATTGATATAGCTTTGAATAGATTTCTTATAGATTATAGGAATACAAAACATTGCACCACTCAGGAATCTCCTGCGAAACTTTTTTTAGGTAGATCGTTAAGAACAAGATTTGACTTAATGAAACCACCATTAATAATTGAAAAAATTTTAAGAACACAGGAAAACAGCATTAGAAACTATAAAGGTAAAAGAGTTACAACATTTAAAGTAGGTCAACGAGTTTTTATTCGTGATTATAGAAATCCAAATAAACCTAGTTGGTCTCCTGCTAAAATTATTGATCAATTTGGTCCACGTACCTATCAATGCGAATTATCACATAGTAATAGGGTGATAAAAAGGCACGCTGATCAAATAAGATCTGGATCTGAAGATAAAAATCAGCAGAGTGATGTAGACGCTGAGCTGTCGGAGGTGCCTGCAGCACAAGTTGAAAATAAAAATATAACCGACAATAATACTGTCGAGACTGATCTTGCAGAATGTATTGAGAGAAATGTAAATGACAACAATATACCTCTTGAAGATTTACACCAATGTTATACAAATTTAAGTAGTAATGACGGTCAAGTAAATACTAGACACCTAAGGCCGAGAATACAAGGAAAGGTTGTTAAAAAATAAAAAAAAAAATAAAAAAAAATTGTATCATATAATTTTCTGTAGTTATGTATATATATTTACTTATATACAAAAATGTATTATCTTTAATTTAGTTTAACACAACTGAAATGAATTTGTAAAATATTTATAAAATGTAAAAAATATATAATATAGAAATATTTATATAATTTGAATAAAATAACAAACTTCATTTAGTGGAGGCATGTTATACTTAGTTATAATTTAGTATTTAATTGTAAGCTTTTTATTATAGCAAATAAGCTTTTAGGTTAATTTAAGTAATACTCTAATTTTAAATATTAATAAAGTCAGTCATAATATGAACTCAGAACGAAGCGTGTTATTTATTTAAGCGACATAACACTAAAGTTTTAATATTTTAACATTTATGTAATGAATCGCCAAATCGAAACGTAATCAGGATTCTTAAAGAAGTTATAGTATTCCTGATTTACTTAAATACTCAAGCATCTCGAAACAACATAACGCTTTTTGGAGAGCTCTAAAAAAAACGCAATAAATTGTAATGCAAATGTTTAACAGTTTAAAAAGTTAGAATAGTGATTTATAATCATTTACGCTCAACCCCATTTAAATTCTTTACAGTACGCAAAGTTATTCCAAAAATTATATAAAATGCAAAGTTTTAAATTGCTCTCCGATTCGATAGTACATTTGCATCTTCAAGGCTGCACCATGCATCATCCCGTGTGTTTCCTGTGAAATATGTGCTTAAAAGCAATAAATTTATGGAGCTACTTGACGCTGAAATAATGGTTCAATTGAATGCCAACCTACTGAACATAATAATAACCCTACATCTCATAAAAATAGTGTCATGTACATACTATAATTTATTTATTTTTACATAATGCTGGTATATTTAAGGTCATACTAAATAATTCAATTGTGGTGTTTTAAATATATTGGCAGCCGGTATATTGCATTTTCATTTATGCATAGTATCTAATTACAAATAGCGTCTGATATATTTAAACTGGCATTAGATTTTTGAGTGATTCATTTAATTTGTGACTAAACTATGAAGAGAATACATTAGTCTATATCGCAAAATTGACAAAACTGACCAAAAAGAAAAATAGAGTAAGCTATCAGAACTTAGTCCAACACATGATGAAAGTACAGTAGCTAAGTAGCTGGTAGCTAGAATTACAATTAGAAAATACAATTAAGACAACAGCAGGCTAAAGTGCTATCGACCTCCATTCCTATTATTACTATTGCAGAATAAATACAACTGCAATAGCTGTCTTTCTCAATACATTCTCTATTCGAGAAATGATTAAGTAACGATATTCGAATAGATAGAATAAATTCTGATTCTACTTATCAAATATATTTAGTTTGATTAAGTCTCTCTGTAAATGGCACCTCCATAGTTTACAATTATTTTGTGAATAAGGTGTTATATACGCCATCCCGTAAACTACCGTAACAGTCCTTTTATATCATTTTTGGCTCATGAGTTCTTTTAATGCCATCATTAATTATTTTTGCAACAACAATTGGTTGCAACAACTTTCAATGCGAGTCCTTTCAGCAGACTATGTGAAATTATTCTATTGTGCTGAAATATCCAACTCAAAGTGCAGCGCATTGTAAAATAAAATTTAAAAATACCGCCACAGTCGTCCGTGCGTTTTTGCTCTTTTGAGGCTGCTCATATATTTCGTGTATTTATGAGAAACTATGGTATTAATGTCGGTGGTTTACGGTCGACAGAGTTTTAAAATAATATTTTATTAAATTTTATTAATAATTCTTTGCAGTAAATAAATTTGATGACAGATTTAAAGTGATAATCATTACTTAATTTAATGGTGACGGGCTTTTGCGGCAGGTTGTGAAATCTGAATAAATTATTAAATTAACCATACAAATAATGATAATTGTTACATTTTGGAAATTTTTAGGGTGATTAACATCGGTTTAGGCTCAGTGAACTTTAACTTAAACGATTTCGTCCTATATTGTTTTTAATACATATACATTTACCTGCTTTTTATACTGAAGTGTAAAAATATTTCCGTCAACTTTCAATGTAGTACCTTTTGAAGCTTTTTCACGGCGAAAAACAAATCAACTGTCATCAACTGTGTATGAATCAACTGTCATCCCGAGGTCAATCTAAAATTTTAACTCATCCCATTTTTAATAGTCCAAATGTAAGAATTTCAACTCCATAAAGTCGAGTGCGTTAACGCGTGCTTAAGTGTGCATTTAGTCATTCTGAGAAAAGACTTTCCGTAAATACTTTCGCAGCAGCTTTGATTTCCACTTAATGATTTTTCTTTAGATTATTATTTGTTGTTATAATGAAAATATTAGTACCAAATTGGTGTATCGAAAATGCTTCCCAAAAAGGCAGCTGAAGAAATTTAGTATTAAAGGTGTATAGTAATTACGATTCCATCAATATCTATTCCTCAATAAATAAACTACTGCTACAGAAATTTGAAGATAATTCCTTCCTTGCTGATTACTGGAATGCAATAACTAAACTAAACACTAATAGTAGTAGAACACTAATAATATCTATAGTTCCCTGATAATAACTATGTTATTCCCCTTTACTGAAATATTTGAAATCTGCAATTTACGAAGTGGGCAATGAAATGCATATATCAATTTGAATTCTTTTAAAGTAATCCAGACTTCTTATTTCTAAGTTTTTTTTTTCGTTCAAAATTATTTCAAATTTCTAACAAAACAGCATTTATTCTTATTGCATTTAAGTCCTTAAGTTAATCCCCACATCCTAGCGAATGTCTTGCTATTAAAATATATTGACTTAGCAATCTGACAGTTAAGGGAAAACAAAATTAGCTGGAAGGCGTGAAAGTCTAGAGGCAAGATGAAGAATGTGAGGAGAGATTAAATGTGCAATATGCATATACACTAAATATATATATTTTAATCGTTACACGCAATTGCATGGCAAATGCTTCTTTACTGCTTATCGTTTCGTTCCTTTGCTTTTATTGCTTTTGAAGGATATTAAATTCTCGGCAGTCTTTCGCTTCTGTTTTTTGTTTTTCGTTTGAATTTTTTTTTTACTGGCTTACACTGAAAGGCAGATACACTGATCTCAGAGCTTGCAAGAAAGGACAACACTATTCAGAAAAGATTTCTCAAAACCATTGAAAATAATTTAAAAAAAAAATTAAAAAATTAGTGTTGAATGTCAATCGGACGCACATATGTTCAGCAAGTTGAATATGTTTTATATCGAAATAATCTTCAAAGGTGTCGGCTATTATAATTCTGAAATTTAAGCAAAAGTACTTTAGAATTGATCAGTTCTTCATTGAATATTTCTGCTGATAATATCTGCATTTGCAGCTTCAACAAAAAGAACGTGAACTTAAGGGTAATTTATGAGTAATGAACCAAGAATGGGACTTAATATTCAATGTAACTTACAACAATTTATACTCAAATGAAGCAAACTAAATCTTATGTCATCATTGCAATTGAAATGTGAATTTAACTATCCTACGTTGTCAATATATAGGCGTGGCATATTGACATGGTGCACTGATAGTGAGAATGGCGTTGTTAAGAAGTGCAGTAATATGAGATCTCGTTTTTGTGAAGTACAGTGTAGCATTAACTTCATTTTCGGTTATACACTTTATGTAAAGGTGGTGAAATGTCCTCATGGGAAAAGAATAAGTTCTTTTCTAAAACATGTCATTTTATTATTATTCAGTGGAAGCTTAGGTTATATTATTCCAGCGATCCCTAGTTGACCCACTTAGTATACAGTGACCTGCACCGCTTGTTAGCTGTATCGGGATATCCAATGGTAGTGCAGCATGGTCATGTGCCAGATATGCAAATGCTATCCATATTTGGTGGTCACCGTCACTCTATTGTGAAAGTAAGAGAGTATTAAATTTTTTATTAATTAACATGCAGGACCTAGGCTTACCCTTGTTTAGCGCATATAATAAGTTGTAGTTTTTTGTCCTGATTCCGCATACAAGGTCTTTATAAATCGATTGTTCTTGTATCAGGAGCATATCAACCTCATTGTTGCTGAGGGGCTGCAGCATGCTGGCGGATGCAGCATTGTTATGTTGCAGGTTAATCTGTTCTTCCCGCATCTTTATTCAGTGTGGATTCAATTCTCTCCACCACTGTGACATCTAGAGCACTATTCTCCTCAGAGTCATTACCCGATTTCAGGAGTTCCTCTTCTGAAAAGGCAGACTGTGTACATTTAGCAATGATGGAACCCACATTTTCCAGATTTTTGTTTAAGTCCAGGACAGGTAACAAATAGACAACAAATAATGCGTATACATGGTTTTGGAATAAACAAAAATTATATTGAAATATTTTGTATATTGAAATATGTATGTGAGACCAGTTTATAAATTTAAATTTAATGCTGATTTAGAATGATCAAAAATCAGTATTAAAAAACTACTTTCTCCCAAACTGTTAGGTGCAAACAAGAACTAAGTGATTTTGTACAATATCTCAATACAAGTATTGAAGTATAGAATATCCCTCAAAATTTGTTGTATTCATCTTTTCATTTTTTTCCTTACAAAGAAGTAGAAAAGTTCGTAAAACAATACAAAAAACACAATAAATGTCACCGGAAAGTGCCAAAAACTAGGCACGTAGCATGCCTAGAACTGTGGGTGCAAAATGTGGTGGTATGGGACCTAAAGATACAAAATATTATAAAACGTTCCCACTTGGCAAACAAAAACAAAAGAACATAAAATATTAAAGAATGAACATCAAATATAAAAAAGATATACCCTAAGGATAAATTATTTTCATTTTCTGTCTTTGACCCAATGACAGTTTTTCGTGTCCTGTCATGTAAACAGATGGGGGAATGTGTGAATATATATTACTTTTTTTATTCTTGCTTTGGATGCGTCTTTTCGCTCACATTCTTTACTTTTGTTGTATTTTTTTCCACATGAACATATTTTATCTGTACATATAAAAGCGAA